CAGCAGTATTACCGGTGACCGCCGAAGGGAGACAGTTGCTTATTTATCTTTTCAATTTTTACTATGTTATGCTTGCCACTTTTTTGAGGCAATGTTTGTTTGGTTTTTTTTAATGGGAAACCATAGCGAAAGCACAAATAGAACTATTTGTCTGATAGTTTTAAAAACAAAAGTTTTAATTATTTTTTAATGTTTATGAAAAGCAGAAGAAAATTTATACTGCTGCTATTTAGCCAAAAGATTATTCATAAGGTATTTAAGGCCAGGAAGTGTAAAATTATGTTTTAAATGTATTGATAATTTGTACATATTGTTTATAAAGGCCTTGTGTTTATTAGAATTACGTTATTTTCATGATTTCTGTACATACTCGTAAATACCCCCAATTTGTGTGAAAACATACTCCCTTATTTGTACTTATTTTGTAAAGAAATAAAACAATTTACTAAAGTAACACATCGAGTGACATACAGTATTAATTTATCAAACATGAATTTCACATTGTCTCGTAGCTTTTAAGCACTGTTGGGAAACATTTTGCGTTCGGCTGTGAACAGGAGACCCACAAAGGGATATTCGAAGCGCTGGCCAAGACCCCGCGTTCCTCAAGGCGCCGTTCCAGCGCTCGGCAGCCGCGGATCAGCGCGATTCTGTTCGGTCGAGTTACGCGAAAAGCCAGGCTACGGTCACTTGGTGGCCTCTGTAGTAAAAACCTCTGCCGGCTGCACAGCCCCGCGTCACCGGTGTCTGTGGTGTTTGAAAACCTGCTTTAGCGACACTGAGCAATGTTCTTAATTATGTTGCTATGGTTTAAGGCCAGAAGTAAAAATTCAAATCAGTTTTTGCTGATATTGCTGCCTGAAAATACAGGGAAATAAGTAAAAAAGATAGAAATGAAACTGTAATAAACTTTAAATAAGTGACCTGAAGTTACTAACTGAAAGAACATGTCCTAGCTTGACTTTTTTTTCCCCCAAAGGCATATTTCTTCCAGCAGAGTGATTGTTCCCACATGCCTTCCTCGCCTTAGCGCTGTTTCGCAGTCAGCGGTGTGATGTCATGGCTCAAGCTCCCCATCCCCGGTTCGCGCCGACCGGCGGCGCAGCCTGGAGCCCCTCACGGTGCCACCTCAGCAAGCTGCCCGAAGCACCGCAGCCACTTCAGGGAGCCCCCAAAACCCCACGTTGGGCACCAAACGGACGGCACCCACCGTGGCCAGCCCGAGGGCTCCCCGCGGGACCGCAGCACCGAGCTGCCGCGGCGGAGAGGACGGGCACGGGCCGTGCGACCCTCCCCGCCACCGTGCGCGCCGCGTGCAAAAA